CTGAGGAGGAAGTGGCCACTAGGCAACGTGGACACGTACACTCTTGGGAAGCTGTGTCCAGCCACATGGCCATTGCCTTAGTAGGGGAGGCAGGCCAGTGCATGGGCAACCTGCAAGGCAAAGGGCTCACTCCTCCAACTCCTAAAGGCCCCTCCATTTAGACTAGAAGGTAGCGACAGCACCCAGCGGCCAACAGGATAGAAGACAGGGACGTGGTGGTTTGCCTAGGGCTGAGACAAGCAGGCTCCCTCCACTAGAACACGCACTGCACACAGCTGTGGCCCCATAAACAAAAAAAAAAAAAAAAAAAAAAAAAACAAAAAAAAAAACCCATTAACTGAAGAGAAAACACAGTGATGAACCTGTAGGTGGCATGGCCACACTCACACTTGGCCCACTTGGGACAGAGCAAGAACGTTGTCCAGTTCCAGAAAGGTACAGGTTCCAGGCAACAAACTTGGTAAGTGGAGTTTAAAGGCATCTGGGATATAGCACACCAGTCACCAGAGCACCCACCATCAGGAGCACAGATAAGGGGCACAGGCCCTGCTGTCCCTGAAGCCCCTGCAATGCCTGGGAAGGCCTACAGCGTTGGTGGCAGGTCCCAACCTGTGGACCAGGGCTACAAACAGACTAGGGGATACAGCAGGCTGGGACCCCCCACCCCCCACCCCACCCCCGCTGGCAGGCTGACAGCACTTCCCCAGGCACACAGGACAGGCACTTCCTGTGTGCATGAAATCTGCTTCCCATGTCCCCTGGGGAGCCCTTTTTGGGGTTCTTCTCCCAGCCATCCCCTGGGAAACACCAATCCCAGTGCCATGACCATTGCCATAGGCTCTGGTCAAACCCAAAGGGACAGGTTCTCACCACCAGGACCCCCAGGACCAACTCTGTCACTGTGCATCTGTGTCACCTGAGTACCCAGCGCCCCTGGAAAATGCTCCTGGCAGGAGGGGCACAGACCCCATTACTCACAGCCTGGAGAACCTCATGGGGACCAGGAGTGTCACAGTGGACCCCTCAGGCCCAGCAGGGCAACCACTGTCCCCGAAAGAGAAGCATGGGACATGAAACTGGGGGACGGAGAAAGCCAGCAAAACCCACCGTCAAGAAATGGAAGGCCAGCAAACCCTACGAGGGTCTACAACCGGAGGCAGACACTGCCAATGAGGCAGACCAACCTTGCGCGGGGACCCTGGCAGAGGGCAAAGGGGCTCTTGCACTCTGAATGCTGAATCCTACAACAGCCCCCAGAATTAGGCAAACAGGGAGGTCGTGGCATAACTTGCAGGAGTTCCACAGGTTACTGAACCAAAACTCAGCGGTGGCAGGGAATAGCTGCCAGGTCTGGGGTCAGCGCTGAAGGTGCTGAACATTAAGACTGAGGAAATGAAGAATACTGTGGGAATTCTGCAGAAATGGGAGGGTCAGTGATGCTGCCTAAGGTGAGATGCCATGAGGTCTTGTCAGCAGGTGCCACTACTTGGCAGAGTTACATCCGGCAGGAGAGTCACATTCAGGACCCCATGGCACATCGAGGATAGTCAAAACACAGGCAGATGAGAGTTGTTAGCAGTGGTGAGGACATGGGAAGGGAACCAGAGTGCAGGGGGCAGCAGCCAGCAGGGTGAGTGGGGTCTCTGCCTAGCCAGACTGCCTACAGAGACCATGGCAAGACAGCTTTTCTCAGGTGAACCAAAACATCACCAAAGTTGCTCAAGAGAAATAGTTAGGGGGAAAATGGTGAACAGGGAGGGCACCGTTCACAGTAACTGTGGGATGAAGGAAGCCTGGTAGGAAAGACTGTGGAGACCCGGGCTAGGGTGGCAGGTGCCTGACAGGAGGCTGGGGCAGAGAATCACTGCAGGGCTAAAGTGCCAGGGATCTGCTCTGAACAGGACAAAATCAAAGCACACAATCCAGAGACTAAGGAGATGAAATTTCACGAGTAGAACAAAGGGCCACAAGGAAATGTCTCTGGGGGTTCGGAGAGGCATTTCAAAATATTTTCATGCGTCCTACATGTTTCCATGTGTTCAGCACACATTCATATCTCGTGTTCATTTTATTAGTTCTCAAAAAAAAAAAAAAGAAGGCCCAAGAGTCATTTCCCTGCACACCTTTCACACACCCTCCGCAGGGCAGAAATGAACAAAGACGGATACCGACAGCACAGAGGCGGCACCACGAGCCCGGCGTGTCGTTTCCCGGCCTGGTTCGTGGGTCCGAGCCGACCGCGAACTCGCGCGCAAAACAAAGCGCCCCCGGGCGGCAGGGCGACCACGCGGACCTGGGAGCAGCGCCGCGAGCCCCCGGGAACACCGCCTCGCGCCCCCAGCCTGGCCCTGACAACCCTCTACACGACCCCCCC